TGTTGGTTTTGTTGGGGGGGGGGGGGGGGGGGGGGGGGGTACCACCCAAAGACGACACCGAAGGCTGCCCCAATTGCTACTACTGTTGTAGGGCGTATGCATAGCTATCCTGTGGACGAGATGTTTCTTCACGGACTACGGCGGCAGCGGCACGCACAACTCCAAGACTTGCATGTACGGCTTGAAGGCAACGCCAACTGCATGTTGGTTGTACTGCTGTGCTGCCGTGTAGCATGTCCCTTAAATGCCACAACCACCTAGCACAACACCGCGCAGGGGGCAGATACGGATACGAGGCGACAGCAGCAGCAGCAGCAAGCAACGAACACAAGCTAGCAAGACCTCCACACACCGACTGCATCACAAACCGGCATACCGCGACCCTCCGCTCGCTCTGCCAATCACCTTCAGCGTCCCGGCCGCAGCCGCCCCCTTCCCTCTCTCTGCAGCCGCCGCCGCCGCCGCCGCCGCAACGCCTCCTCCACCCCCGTCATCGAGCTCCATCGCGTCATCATCGTCGTCGCCTTCACCTCGGGGGACAACCGCCGCCGCCGTTGCCGCCGCCGCGCCGCCGTTCCCCCCCACAAGAACGCCTGCACCACCGTCTTCCTCCAGCAACACCCACTCCGCGAGCCCGTCCGCCGTGCTAAGCTTCTCCGCTGCGTGCCGCTCCGCCTCTGAGTCGTTTGCACTACCGGTAGCGGTAGCGTTGGGCGCCGGGGTCGGATTGGAATTGGAGGAGGAGAGGGTAGAGGCCTGGGCCACCGGCGGGATGTGGGCGATGAGCGTGTTGCTGAGGCTCTTGCACAGCGGGCAGAAGAACTCGGCGCGGTTCACGTCCACCGACATGCGCCCGTCGAACGTCTGTTGTTGTTCACCGTTAATATTTTTGTCGTTGTCGTTGTCGTTGTCGTTGTTGTTGATGTTGTTTCGGTGGTGTACCAGGACAGGCAGGGAGGGAGGAGGAACAAGGCGGCGGCAGTGGCGGCGGCGGCGGTGGCGGCGGCGGGGCAGAACGATGTTGTTAGCAACCCCATGCACATCCCACAACCGTTATGGTCTTCAAAACAAAATAAATTCTGCGATCCAAAAGCTGTGTTCACGACCAAGTTGAAACTTGAAAACAAGACGCAAGAGTACAATTGTACGGACTCTTGCGGAGTCCCAAGGCGGAGGCACCAAGAAGTACATCCCTAGGTACACCCCCCCCGGGGGAGCTTGCGTTTTTTCCCCCCCCCCCCCCCACTCGGTGTTTGCCATCGGGATTGGGTTTTCGTCGCTTGGCAACGACGTTGTAAAACAAGCCAATTCACTTCGTGAACTCGACAACCAGGTTACCGTTTTTTTTTTTTACCTCGGTTTTTTTTTTTTGCGGTAACCATAATGGTGGTCGAGTAGATCATGTTGTGCGGGGTGGAGAAACATCACTCCGCGCAACGGGGGATGATCGCACCACGTTGTGTTAAAATGGTCAAGCTTCCTCGAGGCAGTTACACAGTGCTTACAACTGTCTCTGGAAGTGAAAGCACCAGAAAATAAATTAAGTCATACGTAGCTGTCATCCGTACGCAAGGAAGTAAGCACAAGATGCCGAACACCCTTAGCAGGATGCAGCTCACCCTTCATGCGACTCGCCAAATACCTCACGGCGCTTCGCGCTTGGTGATGTGAGAGCCTGGTCCGGTGAGAACCCGGCGTGCTCCGTCCCGGCTTTGTAGGGATGCGAGGTCAATGGTCAAACGACTACGGCATGCACGACTATGAGTACACCCCCCCCCCCCC